ATATACATATATATAAACATATATATATATGTATAATACATATATACATATATATAAACATATATATATATGTATAATACATATATACATATATATAAACATATATATGTAATGTAATAGCTGAAATGAGAGCACAATAGATGGAATAGAGCTGAAAAATGAATTAGAAAATTGCAAGAGCAGATTGAGGAAATCTTTAATAAACAAATATAAAATAAAGCTACAAGATATGGATAAGAGAAATAAAAGTGCTAACACTCAGATAACTAGAGTTCAGGGGGAAAAAAGAGAGAGACACACACAGAGAAATTGAGAGGAAGAACCATTTGAATAAATATGGAGACCAATCTCCCCAGGCTCAGGGGAGGCCAGAGCGGCTGGAACAGCACAAGTGAAGGATAAGGGGGGCCAAGAGGAGGAGAGGAAGACGGGCTGCCTAGGCAGGGTGTGATAGGCCCTGTTGAAGAGTTTTTTGTTTGGTTGGTTTTGGTGTTTCTTTTGGAGAAGTTTGCATTTTTTTATTAAGTTATAATTGACATATAGTACAATGCACCTTTTTGTCTCATGGGAGAAGCGTGTTGCAGAGCAGAAAAATGGAAAGAGCCTGTAAATCTTTCTTAGTTTTGTTTTCAATAACTCAAAATTCATGATATAGTCTAAGGCTTGCCTTTTCACTTTCTGAATGGTATCTGTGGCAGGTTGGGTTTCCCAAGAAGCAGATTCTGAGATGGAGACTAGTGTGTAGGAAGTTTATTTGAGAGTGCTCTTGGGATCAACATCTGGGGAAAGAGGGGGTTGGGGAGAGGGAGAGGTTGAGCTGCACTGTAGTCTTAATGCAAATTTTAGCTGACTCTATCCTTCAAAGCTATCCCAAGTTGAGATGAGGGGACCAGGACTTTATACTTTCAAGTTGACTGATCATGGGATGCAAGCCACCCTGTGAAGGGGACAGATGAGGCAATCCCCAAGGGGGCTGAGAGCTGAGTGATGTCTGCTGATGGCTCTTCCAGCAGCTGGAGTAAAAAGTTATTTATTCCCGAGGGAGAATCTGGGTGGCACATCATAACATCCACCACTTTGTCTTTTGATTAATAGAAGTCTTAATTTTAATGCAGTCTAATTTAATCTGATATTTTTGAATTCTGTTTAAGATATCTTTCCTTACACCAAAGTCATGAAGATCTTCTTTTATATTATTGTCCAGAAGCTTAATTTCATTATTTGCCTTGTTTATATTTGACACCTTGCATTTTAAAAAGATAAATTATGAAATGCTTTATATTACCATCATTCCTAAAGGATATCTTCACTGGATATGAATTCTAGTTCAGTGGTTATTTTCTTTTAGCTCTTTGAAGGTATTATTTCTTTTTCTTCTAGCTTTCATTCTTCCTGTTGAGAAGTCTGCTTTCATTTTAATTGCCACTCTTTTGAAGGTAACGTCTTTATAAAAAAAATCTGGGGGCCGGCCCCATGGCCAAATGGTTAAAGTTCCACGTGCTCTGCTTTGGCAGCCCAGGTTCACCTGTTCGGATCCCAGGTGTGGACCTACTCTGCTCATCAGCCACAGTGTGGAGGCGTCCCACATACGAACTAGAGGAAGACTGGCACAGATGTTAGCTCAGGGCTAATCTTCCTCAAGCAAAAAAAAAAAAGAGAAACATTGCCAGTGGATGTTAGCTCAGGGAGAAACTTCCTCACCAAAAAAATAAATAAATAAAATAAAAATAAATCTGGATGCTTTTAAAATTTTCTCTAAGTTTTTGGTTTTCTTCAATTTCTGATTTGCCTAAATGTGAAGTTTTTTTCCTGCTTAGGATTGCAGGACTTCTTGAATTTGTCTCTTGATGACTTTCTTCAATGTGGGAACATTCTCAACCATTACATTTTCTAATGTTGCTTCTGCCCTGTTCTATCTCTATTCTCCTTTTAGGACTCAAAAACATGTGATAGGCTCTATCATTTTACACTCTATGACTCGTTCCCTTTCCGTTATCTTTTTCTTTTTCTTTTTTTGGTGGGGAGGGGTCTCTCCATGCTTTATTTTTTATATTTTCTTCTTTCCTACCTCCCAGTTCACTAATTCCCTCTTCAGCTGTGTCTAATCTGTTGAAAAACCCATCCATAGAGTTATTAATTTTAATTATTTTACTTTTCATTTTTAGAGTTTCTATTTAGTTCTTTTTCAAATATACTCTCTTCTTTTTTAAAATTATAGTTTCCAGTTCCCTGCCAAAATTCTCAAGCTTTTCTTTTATCTAACCAATCACAGTGAGTATAGTTGTTTTAAAATCTGTGTTTTGTCACATCTGTGTCTGGAGTTTCTGTAGGTCTGCTTTTATTGTCTGTTTCTTCTGGTCTTTCTTGTTTACAGTCTCACATCTCTTCATGTTATTTTTATTGTGCATCAAAAACAATGAAAAATTCAAAAAAATTTAGAAAACTGTTCATAGAATGAGTGAGGTGGAGAATGATATTATCTTCCTCCAGAGGGGATTAGTTCAAATATGTCACGTTCCTGGGGAACAGTAGCAATCTGGGATTCCCTCAAACCAATTTCTAAGGATTGAGATAACTGGAAGCTGAGTTCTGGTTCCTCCAAGGGCTGCTCTGTTTCTGGTTCACCTAGTCCTAAGGTATAGCTCTCAGGGTCCCAACCCCAAACAAAGATTTACCAGCATCCCTTTTTGGAAAGTACTGGGGTCCAAATGTAGTCTCCCTATTCCCTGTGAGTCAGTCAAAAATGCTACTCAGATTCTCAGCCTTGTAGAAGCCTCTCCTGAAATTGGCAAATATCTCTAGGGGAAAAACAGACCCAAATTCTGGGTTTAGCTCTCTGGATTTATGTCTTTTCCAAGGTCTGCTTACATAATTATCCATGAACTTTCAAGCAGTTGGATACATATATATTTTTAGTTTTTGTCCAGCTTTTCCACTTTTCTTCATTGGAAGTGTTGGTCTGATGTACCTAGTCTAGCACTCCAAGAGTAGAAGTCAGGGTATATTTTTCCTCACATAAAAAGAACCCTAGACCTGAAAACATTTTGCAAAATGAAAGAAGCCAGACAAA